CAAGGCCAAGGCTTTGACCCTCAAGCCTCGAGGCCAAGGCCAAGGCTTAACCCTCAAGGCCAAGGCCAAGGCCCTGTTTTATGAAATGACCACTGATATAGAACTAATTATAGTCACATGAGTGACACATCATCACGCAAGGGCAGATCCAGAGCACAATTGGGGGGGGGCAAAGAAACGTTGGTCCCCCCCCAAAAAAATTGGTCAAAAAATTACGGCTTGGGCTTCGGGGCCCGCTTAAGGGCCCCGAAAAAAGTTTGGATTCGAGATGCTCTGTGGTGCGATTTGAGGCAATTTCTGACCATTTTAACCGATGTTTTTTGAGGAAAAGATGGTGGTGTACTCATTGCCTGCATTTATTACGACGTCACATAAAAAAATAGGTTTCTTTTGGGGGGGGGGGGCATGGCCCCTTTTGGCCCCCTGGATCCGCCCTTATCATCACGAATTGCTCGTTACGAAGAACAGCATTTCTTTAATTGCAATCAACATGCTCGCATAGGCCTACACCGTTTTATGACTGCACTGTATCTATCTATATATATAAGAGAGAGTTTAACTCGGCCTCCCAGACGATGTTTGCTCATGAAAGGATCCCAGACCGCGGGCTCCCGCGGAGCCAGAATCGCTCCACGTCCGTGGAAAAATGCGGAGGGTGTCTTCCGCCGGATCGGACACTTCGGGTCGTCCCGATTTTCCCGTACGGACCGGCGATCCGTTTCGTCAATTTTTCGTGACTGCGTTTTGCGCAGGAATTTGCCGTCGTGTGCGCTTTCACGTTGACTGCCTGGCCGCCCCCTGTGCTGGCTTTTCTGCGTGTCTAGACTGTGCGAGGTCAGCGGCTTCGAATTAGGGGTTCCGTTTACGTGTTCTACTCGGCCGTTCTGCAAAAGCGTTCACCAAATGGTGGCATGGGGTGACCTTGGTAAAATATTTTTTCTCCATGGTGCGTGGCCACCAAGTGTCCCTATTCTTTCATGTGCTTCGCTTGCCGCCCCTGCGCCGAGTGCAACGAATACTCAGAAGGACTACACATTAGGTATGCCTTGCGCGGTCTGACCAATCGAAAGTCTACACTGCGTAGTATTTCCGGGCTATGCAAAACTGTCGATGGCAACGCGTACTGCAGCCTGCTCCACACCCTGGAAACGAGGTTGGGTCTACGGTGCTTGCTATTTGAAGCGTCGCGTGATAGAGTGCTGTTGCTTCCATAATGTGTTTACAGCTCCATGCTTCCACCACCAAGGCTGAGTGTTGTGAGTTCGCTGCCCGCCACGTATAATTCAGTGTCGCGTTATAATTTCGGGGGCCTGTTTGGGGTCAACGAAGGATCGATGCATTGCTTCGAATATCGCAATCTTAAACGAAGTCACAAAAAAATCGATGAAAAAGTGTCCGACCCGGCGGACGACACCCACATTTTTCCACGGACGTGAAGCCGCGGTCTCGGATCCTTTCAGAAGCAAACATTTCTCGGAGGCCGAGTAAAACTTGCTCTTATATATAGATGGTTGAACCAACTTGAATAAAAGTTGAATCGCAGACGGTCTCACAAATTGTAAGAAGTTCAAGTTTACGTTTGTTGAAGAGTCCAATACTGAAACTTAATTATGACCTTCCTCCATGATTCAGACCGTTTGTAATTTTTTGGTAACACTCAACATTTTCATTTTAAATGACACCTTCGAGTTTTATTGCATTATGATTTATTGTCAAATTGTACAACCAGCCTTCGCCTGTGTACTACAGTAACCTTTTCACTACGTTTTCCAAATGCGACTGCCTCACAAAAAGCCAATTTAAGGCCAAAAAAAAAAAGTCTCCGGTTTCTGGTATGCGCGCGCGTCGCCGTAGCCATGCGCGTCGGCAAAATGAAAAAGTGTTTTTTTTAGGGAAAGATGATGTCCCAAAACCGCCAAACTCACTGGTTTGACTGGAATACTGCTGCTGCACAATTTTAACGTGTTTTTAGATTGGGTTATGGTCGAGAATAAGCTTTCTGTGGCCTCTCTGGACTCCCATATATTTGCACTAAGTTTAGTCGGGCACCATTTGCAGTCATCAGCACACATTTGAAGCAAAAAAATTAGGTAAAAAAAAAAAAAAAGCCGCGTCGCCGCAAGGAAGCTCCATACCAGAAACCGGAGACTTTTTTTTTTTGGCGTAACAGACCAACGGCAACATTTACAGACAGTTGCCATGGTACATAATTATTATCATGTGCGTAAATCCACGGGGAACAGGGGGAACCCCCCCCCCCCCCCCACACACACACACACACATTTTGAGGGGGGACATTGTTTGGTCTCCCCCCCCCCACACTTTTTCTTCCCCGAATAAAAATATTGTAGCCTACAATAATGATTCTATTGCTCAGAATACATGTAGCTGCTTCAATTACTCAAAACTCAAAACTTTCACAAATGATCTTTTGCTCAAATTGGTTTTAGTGATCAGAAATTGCCTCAGATCACACCACAGAAATTGCTATTCTTTAACTGCATGTCCCCCAACTATATCCCCCATTTACATTTAACTCCCCACATTTTCATCCCCAACACTACGCCCTACCCGATCTATGATCAGGTAAACCAGCTTGTTAAAGTATAAGTTCAGGTCTTCAATATGGTTTAACTAAACAAAATATGATTTACTTCTATATTGACACACAATTCTCCCAAGTGTAACAAAAGGGGGATCCAAGAAACTGATTTGGGAAATTTGTATTTGCTGGCCCAACATGGTCAGAAATATCAGCATTATCTAAAACAGATACATGCAAATCTTTAGCACTTATCAGGGAGACATATACAACCAATCAGATCTATTCCATAGTTATATGCAATTAAAGTGATCATCTCATTAGCCCCACAAGTGTACGGAAATCTACTACAATGGTAACAAAATGTGATGCTACAAAAGTGGAAGTGTGCCCAACACACAAATCTATAGGGTGCTTCCCTCCTCCATGGTAATACGATTAAAATGGTAACAGCACAATTTCAAACAGATTTATCTAGAAAATGCAAAAATCTATGGGCCTTGAAGAGCCTTGACTCAAAATTGCAAGGCCCTGAACCCTCAAGGCCAAGGCCAAGGCCAAGGCTTTTGCCCTCAAGCCTCGAGGCCAAGGCCCTAAAATCCAGCCTTAAGGCAGCCTTAAGGCCAAGGCCCAGCATCAAGGCACTACATCACTGGTATATGCCATCTTCAAAACTTACAATATCTTTGTTTCCCATTATGTGATTAAGTTGACACTTTAAATCATCATTCTCAAGCTGTAATTGTTTACCCTGTTTTTTCCCCCAGTGAATTCAGTTCCTTTTGAACAAATTTGCTTGACTCTGCACTTTTTTGAAGTGATTTCTGGAGTCCCTATTTCTTTTCTTGTCTTTGTGCAGAGACTTAATTCTCTTTTCCAGCAGCTGCATTCTTTTGTTGAGTTTCTGATTTTCTTTGGTTGTTTCTTCAAGTTCCTTTACAACGTTCTTCTTTTGCAAGCTGCCAAATTGCTTTTTCAACTCCTTGTTGATTTGGTTGGCCTGCCCTAAAGCCTTTTCCACTTTGTCAAGACTTTTGTTTGTTTGTTCATGTTGGAGTGTTTCTGCATGCAACAGGTCTGTCAGGTACTCCATGCAGTCACCATAAGATGAAATGCTTCTTCTAATATGTATTCTGGGTAGAACTCCAAATTGCTTTTGTCATCTTTATCACCATCACTATCTTCATCAACTTGGCAACATGGAGGTTTTTTATTTCATTAAAGTTATAACAACAGTCAAAATATAACATTCTACATATGAAAGTGAAGCTGAAAGTGTATATTTTGCATTCTGACCACGATGTATTCATATTTATCGTATGTAAAGAGAAAAATGACACGGTTTACCTCTTCGGCATCCTCCGCTACGCGTCGCCATTTTGGAAAATTTCGAAGATGGAGCGTTGATCTTTGGGGTTTCCCTGATCTAAATATAGGGTTTCTGGGGTCATAGGTTGCTGGAAACGTCACAGAATCGTCCAAATAAAACAGCTATAAGGGGGAAACGTTCTGCTCCAATGCTTTTCAATGGGCTCTACGGTGCGACTCAACCATTTTTTCTTCGATTTCAAAAAATAAACATTGAGAATGAAGGACAAACTACAAGGATTCAAATATGGCAATATGTTTTAATATTTTTATCTTTCACCTTTGCAAAATTACAGCAGAAAGTCACACTTTTTTTCCGGCTGAACCATGCAACCGTGTGTGTGTGTGGGTGTTCCTGTATTGTATTACGCTCGAGGACAGACAACAAAAGGAGCACAAAGGGGCCTTTCATCCTCGAACGACGGTGCTTATTGTCCTCAAATGCAGGTTTGTGCGCTTAGTCTATGGGAAAGGTTAAGATCAGGGAACAAAGGAAAACACAAAGCCAATCCTCGGAAGCATAGCAAAAAACGACTGTGTGCACATGCGTGTGTGCGCTGTTCACCGAATCGTCTGAAAATTGTGCCTGCGTAAATGACATGCCTACTATAACTGCCAAAGCCCATTTAAGTGGCTTGATAGATCGGTTAACCATTAATACTGGTACAGGTTGTATAGCAGCCATTTTAACGCGTCAATTGTACCGATATGATTCCAGCTTACAGACATGTTCAATCTGTCACTAGTAACCCTATGTATCAAAACCCTGATGGGTTTTGATACATAGGGTTACTAGTGACAGATTGTCACAGAGTGTAGGAGTGTCTGTTCATTGTGTAATAGATTATTTAGAGCCTTTTATTTCTTAATTAACGGCATGGTAGCTCCAGCGCATTAGTGCCAGCTTGCTAAATTCCAAAAACAAGAAAGACATGTAAAGTTTTCTTCCATACAAGACTTAAAGTGTAAAACATGGTTGTTGTTTTTTTCAACATTCTGTACAATTCTTTTTGTAGTACTTTTTACTTTATATCTAATAAATGTAAATAGTCTTTTCCACAACAGGGGTAAAGTAGATAATTATCCTTACCTTTCCACCATCCACTGCTGCAAACACAAACTTTCCCTGCACTCCAAAGCTGTACACATTCATTTTTATTGCTATAAAAATATACAATCCAAATAAAGGAATATTAAATGTTAAATACCTTTCAAACAGTGGCAATAGTTCATATTCAACTTTCATTTTATAAAAAAAATCTGATTTCTTTCCTTTTCAGGCCTTTTTGGTGGTGTTTATGTAAACATGAGTGTTTATCCCATACACACACCACATGCCTGATATATGCACACAAGTCATATTAAAAGTTATTCATAAATACCTCAGACAGTTTAGCCATTCCTATTGGTCGAGAGCCCGTCACGTGGCCGGTATTAAACGGATGATAAAGACATGGCTAGCTGGTCTTAAACACTTTTCCAGTGTCACAATAAAATGTGGACTCCTAAAAATCCAGTGCCTCTTATCGTTTCATTGGTTGAACGTTCACAATCCTCACGTAGGCATGCGCAACACTACTAGGGAGTCAGAATTTTAAAGTTCTAAATTCAAAACGCAACGCGCCAGGTGCGTTCTGCGCGACATCGCGTAGAACATGATACGCGCGCGTCAATCTCCATAAAAGGGTTGTTTTCATCTTACTCGCCAGCTGAACACTCCATTATTTTGCAGGAGGGATGTTTCAAAAAGCATAAAGTGAATTTGTTGAACAAAATCGGGATGTTTTGAACGAATTATATGATTTTTTTTTACCGAAAAGGTATTTATGAATGGGAATAAATATGTACTCCGTCGGTATTTATCACTCTGTTTAATACCACTTAGAGTCTGGGTGCTGATAATTACCCTCGCCTCCGGCTCGGGTAATTATCAGCACCCAGACTCTAAGTGGTATTAAACAGAGTGATAAAAACCTCCGGAGCACACATTTATTCCCTTAGTATAACCTAGCGTAGTGAGAAATTGTTCATAGAGGTTCAACAACAAAAAATGCCCCAAATTCCACCCATATGCCAGACAGTCATGTTGATGGTTTCAACCTTGTCCCCATACAGTACACCACGCACAAGCAGGCTGTGTGCAGAGAGCACATTCAGTGCATTGATCATTACGTGTTGCTAACCCCCTCTTCCGTCCCTACCCCTTAATTCCCGTTGCTACACCACTGTTTATAAGTGGAGAGTGTAAGTGCTCGCAAAATGATGATCTGAATGCAACGAGGTGTTGGATCGAAATCAAAGTTATCTCGCAGCTAGCCCTATAAGAAAACTGTACCGAAACGCACGGAATGCCAGCTAGTCCTCGCAAAACTCGCCTGCTCGCTACGCCCATTGCATAGTTGAAAACGTAGCGGGCAAAAGTCTAGGTGGCGCGAGCTGTGCAAAAAAAAGTTTAGTTGGCCGCAAGAGGGCGCTAGGCAAAAAGCATGATCGCAATGGCTGCTCACATGTGAAATGACACAACCACGAAGTTACAAAAGTTATGAAATGAATGCTGGAGTAAGGAACCTGTCGGGTAAAAGTAAGTACTGAAACCTGACCTGGTTACATATACTATAAATCAGAGTTTCAACTGAGTTACGAAGTTTCAGATACATACTCACCAAGGAAAGTCTTTCCATAGTCAGTTGACCTCAAAAGCTTACGAGTTCCTGAACCTGAAACAACCAATGCTCAATATAAATTGCCAACATTGAAATCAAGTGTCTAAACTACGAGAAAAATGTCCAACAAAATACATTTCTGCCGGTTTGACACTAAATTTTTTATCGGTAACTGACGTTACAAAAAAGGAAATTGCAAAACTTTACATACTGTTCATGTTAAAGTTTCCTATACTGTGCATTGATGGAATTTTTTTCAGACTGTTACATCATTAGGTTGTAAGTCACTTGCTACCATAATAATTATTAACTAGACTTATGTTTATGGACAAACACAGGGCTATTTCGGAAACTTTTTTGTGACATATTATGTGACATGTAAAGTTTCAAGTTTAAGTTCCATCCAGAAAAGATGTGTAGTTCTGTTTATAATAAATGGTGGAATATAAATATGTGATGACATTCTCATAGGGCTTTGAATTATGACGTCACATGTCAAGTGATGTCATGATGACGTCACATCAATTTCCGTCTTGTTATATTCTTGGAGGGGATTCGTATTTAAACAACTTGGACGCAGATAGCACCACAACAGCTCCAGCTCGGTTTGGCTTACAACTTCATGACACACGTTTATTCAACATGGCTCCGCGCACAGAAACTCTTACACGAGTTGACCTTTGACATACTCTAATAGGCTGGCTATCTGTCACATGCAGACACGACATCCCTCCCCTTCAAAAAGAAACTTTGGTTTTCTTGAATAATGGGTGACATGCAAACGATTAACTATTACAATTTCCACTGCCCAATAATCACAGCAACTAACAAACATCTTTAACTTTAAATCCAAGCAGAAATATTAAACTTTAGGCGAATTTAAAAAACCCTCATATGATCAACAACATGCATCTGTCTGACCTTCATGGATTATGGATTTGCATACATGCACAAGTCAAGCTACAACTAGTAGTGCAGGTTTGGAATTTACAACACGCGGGTGGAGGGTAGTCCCCCTGCCGTACCCTGACGTGTGGTCGTGATAAGTACCGACGGGCGGGGCGGGCGGAAAACGCGGCCCTGCGTTATGTAGGCCTCGACTAGCCACCAACAAAGGTGGGGGACTAGCCAAGACGTAGTGGGCACCAGATGGTTGATCGGGTGCCAACGGGGTTTGTAGAAAGAAAGCAGGTGAAGTTGAATTGGCCTCATCTCAACCTGCAAAAATCTACTAAGTCCACCAAACAGGCCATAAGGCCCAAAAGCCTGAGCCAGGCTCGGGCTGGAGCCACTTCCGTCAGGAGGAAGAGGGACACACACTGCCGAAGGTTCAGCAGGCGGTCCTCCGATGGGCGGGCCAGTCCCCTGCAAAGATCGAGGGATGCACCTAGAAAGGTGGGAACCTGCGAGGGGACTGGATGGTATTTCTTGGTGTTGATGAGAAATCCAAGGTCGGAAGCAAGGTGCCACATTAGTTGGAGCGCCGCTTCCGTCTCCCCCCGAGAACGACCCACTACTAAGCCAATCGTCGAGGTACATGAATATCATGATCCCTCGTCGCCGCAGTGCCGCCCCGATCATCTTCACGATCCGGGTGAACACCCGCGGAGAAGTGGACAGCCCGAACGGGAGCACCACAAATTCGTACAGTATATTTTTGTATTGGAAACGTAGGAATTTGCGGTGCTCCGGCCTGATCGGTACGTGAAAGTACGCGTCCTTCAGGTCTATACTGGCCGCCCACGCTGGCGTTATGATTGATTCGAGAATGGTCCGTAACGTTTGAACCTGTTGAGGGGTTTTAAGTTCAGTATTGGATGCCACACGCCGGCCTCCTTCATGGGGTCCAAGAAGAAGGTTGACATGAAACCCGCCCGGGTCCCCCCTTGGGGGACAACACGAACTGCTCTCTTTAGAAGGAGGGTGTCGATCTCCTCCTCGAGGGAGCGGCGTTTTGCTGTGTCAGGCGGTACGGGCGTTGTCCGAATAAGCATGTCCGACAGGGGGTCCTCGTAAACCGCTGCTGATCGGTTCGAGGACCCACCGGTTGGAAGTCACCTGCACCCAGGACCCCAAGAACTCCTGAGAAATATTTCTCAAAATCCCCTGGGGGAAAATGATAATAAGAGTCCACGCGCTTAGCGTAGGCACTCCATGTCTTTGCGTGCATTATTCCGTCTATGTGGTAAACGCACACACGGTCCAGCGGCATTGTGGGAGAAGCCCGGACCGGTTCTGCCGTCGGTCCTGATCTCTTCTTGAACGACTGACGCTCAGGAGGAGGAGGATCGGTACCAGCAGGGAGATTCAGGACCCTGATCATATCCCGTTGAACCAAGCGGAGTTCGGTCTCAGCCACCAATAGGCGTTGCATGGTGCAGGTCAGTTCGCTCTCGTCCGCCGAGTTGTCAGAGTACGGGGGGCGAGTTGTCACTGGGGAATGGGAACCAGGCCTCGGGGGTGAAGCAGCGCCGTCATGGTGTCCCAGTATCGAGCCCCGCTTGGACTCTAATGATGCCGATGGGTGTAAACTAATACCGTGCGGGGATGCCGGTGCACGGCTCTCCGTACGCGGCATTGTCCGCTGGTCTGTAGTCACCCCACCACGGCCGTGATGACGGGCGGGTGGGGGCTGTAATTCTGGAGGGGACTCCGGCACACAGCTAACCATGTGTGGTATGTCCCTTTGGCCCGGAGTCATCCAGCTGTGACCGTAGTGGCCAGTGTGTGAGTCAACTGGGCCGAATCCCAAGTCCCCCTGTCAGCCCGACAATGAGGCCGCGAGGGAGTGAAAAGCCTCCAAAAAATCATTGCGCGAAATTGGGTCGCCGCCCTTGTGGCGTTTCCCACGGTGTGATCGACCGGATGACCCGCTAGAACTCGTCGAAGAACGGCGAGGACGACAGTTCTTTTTCGCTTTTTTCTTTTTTGAAGATCGGCTCCAAGTAGTTTCCGAGGATTGCGGGGACACGGGGATGCCCGAACAACGGATAAATCCGATGTAGAGGCATGGCCCTCAGAGCGTAGCGTTAACGCCCTTGGCGTTAACGCCCCGGGGGAATCCCAGGGAGTCGGCTATGCGATCAATACCCCTATGGGATCAATAGCCCGGGCGGCCGACAGTGCCCCCGCCCTGGTAACAATAGGCGGGTGCTGCACGGTCAAGCCGGCCGTATAAAAGCCCATCCCCAGACATAATGGTAATCACGGGGCTGGGTGGGCCTGGGTGCACTGAGCCATGGAGGAGTACTTCCTCTGGCTGTGTGTGGCCCGTAGACGGGCCAGGGACGGGCACAGTGCGCCCCGTAGCGGGGCCACCTTTTGCCACACGTCCCTTTTTGGGTACTGCCCTGGCTTCAGACAATTTCCTTGTCTTGCCGGTGCATTTCCCCTTCAGCTGGGCGGACCCGTGAATATTGACCGAAGACGGTGGGGTTGTACGGCCCCCCGCTTGGTCAAGGGGTCCGTCAGCTCCGACAGCCGGCAGTGGCTGAAGGGGCTGACTAGAGGACTGCTGCCACGGTGACGTACCATCACCAGTGCAGTCCCCCCGAGAACTCGGGCTTGTCTGGTGGGATGTACGTCCCTCCATTATCGACACACCCAGTCCTCCCCAACTTCCTAGATTTACTCATTTCTTACTTCACTTCACTTAGAATAACTCACTATAATAACTCTACAATAAACACTTTCTCTTTATTTCTTATAAATAGTTTTCTCACAGCAAAGAGGCATAAATAAAACAGTGTAATTCAGGTCGATTGAAATTTCACAATATACCTCGTCTGCGGCTAAGAGAAAAAGAGGACGCTAACGTAGTGCGCATGTCACAGGGCGTCGAGGGTAGGACACTTGAGGGCCCTATTGTGTGTAAAACTCTTAGCAAATTGCCTGCCGGCATAGGGAACAATGCATAGGTAGTATTTGCTCTACAGGTAAGTAGAGTGATGTAGACCTTATACTTAGGATGCATGCCACACTGTCTCTTGGGTCTGCCCGCACATGGACTGGGCAGCTCCTTTGGTGGGGTCACAGCGGGTGGGGTATCAGTTACAGTCTTTGGGGGACTTATTGCCTGGTCCATGGTGTTCCCACCGCTGTCCGCTATGGGAGGTTCACTGGCAGTGTTTATGCCTGTGTCACTTGCACTCTGCGTGAACTTCTGAACATGGCTGGTGTTTCGGGAGTACTGGGCTCCCTCCGGGGCAAGGGCGGATCCAGGGGGGGGGGGGCCAAAGGGGGCCATGGCCCCCCCCCCAAAAAACGAAACCAATTTTTTTTTTTTTAATGTGACATCGCAATAAAGGCAGGCAATGAGTACACCACCATCTTTTCATCAAAAAAATTGGTTAAAGTGGTCAGAAATTGCCCGGATCGCACCACAGAGCATCTAGAATCCAAAAAATTTTCGGGGCCCTCGCGGGCCCCAAACCCCACGCCGTAATTTTTTAGACCCACTTTTTGGGGGGACCAAAATTTTTTTTGGCCCCCCAAAAAATTGTGTTCTGGATCCGCCCTTGCTCCGGGGATGCAACAACCACACTTTTGCCGGTTTTACTCACAACGGTGAATGGGTCGGGAATGAAGGGAGTAGATCTTCTCCTGCCTCACAAGGACTTGGTTGCCAATCTGCACATCAGAGTATTTTGCATTTCGGCGTGTATCCACGTACAGTTTGGCTTTTCCTTTGCTTTCAGCATCATGGTCACAAACCTCCAAGTCAGTGTGATCGTCTGGGTTGAATGCTGGTAGTTTGCCGCAGATTTTCCGGTTGAAAAGTAGCTCAGCAGGAGTTTTCCTTGTGGCGGGGTGTTCAGTTGCGCATTTGCGCAGTTCTTTACTCCAGTCCTGACCTGCAGCTTGCTGCAGTTTCATGATCGAGTCATTCTGTCGCTCCACCTCACCGTTTGCTTGAGCTCACAGTTTTCGAACTTTCCAGTGCGAATTGCTTCTCTCACGTTTGCAAGTTCACCGTCTTCGGCAGACGCGTTTTCGACTTGCCTCATGGTCATGGCACGCGGCGTCACAGATACGGCTACGAAACGAACATATTCATCCGCGCCATGGGCATGTTCCGGTTTGCCCTTGCCACTTGAGAGACGTGACAGGGCATCAGCAATATTCTCGAGTCCGGGGAGGTACACAACTTTGTAATTGCACGGTTGTAAGCGTAGCACCCAGCGTTCAATTCGGGCACACGGTTTGGAACGGGGTCCATATATGGCCTCGAGTGGCTTGTGGTCAGTTAAAAGCTCAAAGTTGCATCCGTAGATATAGGTATGGAATCTTTCGCAGGCCCAAATTAACGACAGCGCTTCCTTTTCTGTTTGCGAATATCTTCTCTGACCAATCGGTCAGGCTGCGGCTCGCATAGCAGATTGGAACCAAACCGTCACGCTGTTCCTGAACTAATACTGCACCCAGGCCGACTGGGCTCGCAACACCTATCACCTTTGTCGGTGCCGTTTTATCATAGTACGCAATGTGGTTGCCTTTGCTAGGCTCTCCTTAAGCGCGTTGAAGGCTGCTTTCTGGTGTGACCGAAATTGAAATGGAACGCCTTTTCGGGTCAGTTTGCGAAGCGGGTTGGACAGAGTAGCGAAGTTGGGTATGAATCTACTACTGAACCCAACTAGGCCGAGAAAACTCCGAACCTCTGATACATTCTCGAGCACTCTAAATTCGGATACGGCTCTGGCGCGTTCTTGCATGGGACCAATGCCCTTCTTGGACAACAGGATCCCTGTGAATACTAGCCGGCTCATGTTGAATTGGCACTTCTCAGCATTCAGGGTAAGACCTAGCTCCTGCAATCTGCGCAACACTGCCAGTACTCTACTGTCATGGGTATTTTGGTCAGGGCCATGTACAATTATGTCGTCTGAGATATTTTCTACGCCTTCAAGACCTGCTAGCGCTTTTGCGATCATGTACTGGTACTGTTTGCTCGCAGAACTTACTCCGAACAGAAGTCGTTTGTACTGATATAGACCGCAATACGTGACAAACGTCGTGATCCCTCGCTACTCCAGGGCGAATTCCAACTGGTGATATCCCCTTTGAGCCGTTCATGCTTTGCAAAAGTTCTTCCACAGTAAGAATTGGATGACGGCCGCGTAAGATCGCTTCATACACACATCGCCGTGTCGCCGTTCGGTTTCGGTACCACAACAACAGGGTTGACCCAAGGTGTCGGGCCATCAAAGGCTTTGATTATGTCAAGGCGCTCTAGTTCGCGTATTTTTTGTTCTACTCTACTGCGCGAACTGAATGACGTTCGCCTAAGGGGCTGTACAACTGGCGTAACTGAGGTGTCGATGTGGAGCTTAACTTGCTCAGTTTTCAGCTTACCCACGCCTCCGAACACCCCAGGAAACTGCTGCTGGTACTGCTTGGCCTTGTCACCACTCATAGCTGAGCTGCTCTTAGCACACCTGTCAACTTTGACCTCATCTATAGTCCCGGCGTGGCCGCTTACAGCATTGATTCCAATTTGGAGTACGCCCAGTTTCATTGCTGTGTCTTTGCCAAGTAACGGTACTCCTTTTCCTTTGATGACGATGAATTCGGCTCGGGTAGATCTGCCTGATACCTGCACTTCGCACTCGAACGTACCCTTGAGTGACATACGCCCACAGCTTTCTGTCTGGTGGGATTCACACTGAATTTTGTTCCGTTTAAGTAAGTCCCAAGTCTGCTCGTTGATGATATTGCTCGTGGCTCCCGAGTCATTCAGCATGTTAAGGTCGACTCCGCCCACCTTGATCTTCAACATGTTCGAATGTGGTCCCTCTCGGATGAGGAAGGCGTAATCTTGTGAAGCCTTGGGGTCATTGTGTTCCTCACCCACTTGGTTGACTCTGGGCTTGGTTTTTGTTTTGCACATCTTCGCGAAGTGGTCCCTGCCAGAACACTTTTGGCATGTCTGACCCCTCGCGGGACAGTTCGAGTCACGGTTGAAATGTCCGGTTCGACCACATCTGTAGCAAGCACCTTTGGGGGTCGGTTCAGGTTTTGTACGCTGATTTCCCGTTTGTGATTGTGGTGACCTTGAGTGTTTGGTTTCCGTTTTGGGCTTGTACTGCTTGTCACAGGATTTCTGTTTCTTGTCTGACACACGGTTGACAGAGTCAGATTTAGGGTCTTTGCTTTTGCCAGACAGTGCAGCCATTTATCCTTCCACCTTTTCATATTTATCAGCTATTTGCAGTGCCTTATCCAGTGTCAGTTCAGCCCCAGTTTCCAACAGTTTGCATCTAACATAATCGGATTTGCACTTACTCAACACAGCATCCCTGATCTGATTGTCCTTTTCCCCTCCAAAATCGCAATCCCTGGCCACCCTCCGAAGTCTGGTTACAAATTGTAGCACAGTCTCTCCTTCCTTCTGTGACAACTGATGAAATGCTGCGTTCTTCCGGGGAACAAAGTAGGCATTCAGCGCTTTTTTTGCAGCGTCATAGTCGGCAGGGTCACCCGTGTTCGGCAAGGTTTGAAAAATTTCCTGCACGTCTGGGCCCGCAAGGTGGAGCAGCAACGCCCGTCGTCTTTGCTTTACCTCGGGTGCGGTGGCAGATCCAACGATGTGGCCCTTACCGTCCGCGTACAGTTTGAACGACATAAGCCACCTTTCCCAACACGGACGAAGGGTTGCCGGCTCTGAAAAGCAGTCGAAGGTGGGACTCACGGTTTTCTCCATTGTTTACTCTCGTCGCCAATGTTATATTCTTGGAGGGGATTCGTATTTAAACAACTTGGGACGCAGATAGCACCACAACAGCTCCAGCTCGGTTTGGCCTACAACTTCATGACACACGTTTATTAAACATGGCTCCGCGCACAGAAACTCTTACATGAGTTGACCTTTGACATACTCTAATAGACTGGCTATCTGCCACATGCAGACACGACACGTCTCTAATCATCTATAACAATCTGCTGCTAGATGGCGCTTTAACATTTTATGACGTCACCGTTAGTTTTTGTAAAAAACAACTTTTATAGCCAAAGCATACATCATTGAAAACAAGTTCACATATTTTACAAATTTTAAAGTACAAGGCACTTCCGGTTTCAACCGGAAGGATTAGGGTCACAGGAATTGATAGAATTATCGATGGTCTTCATTTTTTATATAATGTGCAAAATTACGTGACCCTTTCTTCCTGTTGAATCCGGAAGTGCCTTGTAATTCAAAATTGGTGAAAGATGTGAACTTGCTTTCAATGATGTATGCTCTGGCTAAGTTGTTCTTTACCATAATATTATAGTTATAGATGAAAGTTGATGTGACGTCATCATGACGTCATCATGACGTCATCACGTGACATGTGACGTCATAATTCAAAACCCTATGAGAATGTAATCACATAGTATATGCCACCATTTATTATAAACAGAACTACACATCCTCCCTTGGTGTAACATAAATGTATACTTGAAACTTTACATGTCACGTCACAAAAAGTTACTGAAACAGCCCTGTGTTTGTCCACAAACATAAATCTAGTGTTGTTTTAAAACCATTTTTCTAAAGTTTTGCTCAGTGTACACAATAAATACATACAAACATTTATGTAAATAAAAATAAAAAGTTGTCCTTTCTCTGCCTTTGGTCACATGATTAAATGCTAAAACTGATAATTTAATCCAAATTCATATTTTCTGCTGTTTTAACATTCAAAACTGAACTGAAACAATGTGCAATCATAAAGTGTCATCCCCATCACTTTACATTTGTCACAAAAACAAATGCCAAACCTCAAGTTTAATATTACTTTGCCTTTCAGAGAGTCTTCAAACTGAACCAATTGAAATGTTAATCTTCATTCATGCAGGCTTACTAGCATTGTACGATCCATGTACATACAAGTAAGTATGCACATGTTCATGTATATGACTGCATAGATTAGCATCTGTTTGCTGCGTATTAACCAAACTAATTACCCCAAACCATCTGGTGCTGAATATTAACAATTTAACAAATTTCAATATTGCTTTTCATTTACCTGTTTTGTCCTTGTCAGTCCCCGATGATACAAGCACAAATAAAGCACCTGGCTCCATTTCTTTGGTTCCCCATGAGTAAGACATCACATTACTCTGCACATCTCTCCAATGTATTCCAAAATCATCCGACACCCACAGTTTGAACTGACAATACAGCATAAAAAACATTAATGATTCAAGCATTGCTAGTATGTGTCAGGATGAATTCATAAAGAAAAATTATAATCAAAGATCTTCAAGCAAGTGTACAACTACAGTCGAGTCTCGTTATAAAAAACTCGTTCAGACCTAGCCAAATTGTTTGTTATATCAGAATTTTGTATTAAGAGGAACATCAGTCCCATTGTGCACATAATGCACAGTCGAGACCAAGGCGTTATGTTTGTTACAACCAGAATTTTGTATTAACAGAGTTTGTACTAACGAAAGTCGACTGTACATATTGTAGAATGCAAGGGATTGCAAGGGGCAACCCTCTGTGGGCAATTTGAAAAACACATTGCAGATTTTTGCGATGAACATAAGAAGCTCTTTTACATACAATATGAGTCAAAAAGAAAGTGATAGATTTGAAAAATATTTCCAATATTATTTTGCTCGCTCCATTTCACAAAACAATGTATGGACGAAGTACATCTTATTGACTATTAATATTGAAAATTTCACGTAATTTGCATACTCTATTCCCAAGTTATGTCTATTTCAATCACAAGATCACTCGGCTGTCCACCACTGATCATTTATACTGTTCTACAAATGATAAATACCCATTGAGTACAATGAAACATGGACGTTTTCCCACCTCCGTGAATGAACGAGAACTTGCAAAGGAAAACATACAAAAATCGTCATCAATGTTTCGGAAAAAAAGTTGACTCATATTCAAAACACAAAATCTGACAGTAAAAATAATGTTTCAGTCTTTATTTCAATTATTAACATTTCATTTGTATTTGAATGCCTGTGGGTAATCTGTAATTATCACTACTAGTGCAGGGCCAGTCGAAAATGTGCCTGTTCGGAAGGGGCAGTTGGGAACTGCAGCTCAAGCAAACAACGCATATGATTCAATGGTGCTTCCACAGGTTCAACGCACACTCGCAAGTTAAACGCACGCATGTCGTCATCCACTGGCACTGATGTACCCTTACTGGACAATATGAGTAAGATTTGAGGCTTTGCATGGTGGAACTACTAAATGATGAAAGGTTTGCGGAAACACCATGTGCGAATAATTTCTCAACTAAGAGATTGGTTCTGAAAAACAGAATGGTTCTGAAATTGGACAATATGGTATCGCCCTACAGTAACGGCTGCTCAGTCGGCCGTCTGTTGCTCAGTCAACTGCAAAATGCATGTGCCCGTGCAGCCACTCACGTACATGTACATGTACATATGGAAACATGGCATGCAGTGCTATTCACCCATACTGGACAATGGTATCGCCCTACAATGCACGTGCGCGTGCCCGTCCTATTTGCATTGTTAGCGTCATATCGAGCACGCGCGCTTTAGCTTTACAAGACGTAAACAATTTAAAAGAACGGCAGTGCGTGGTGTTATGTTCTAAGCTATATATTGCCACGTTTGCCTTCAGAAAATGCTGCTTTTTTTGCAGCTTTTTCGAGAACCGCTCATCCAAACAACTTCAAACTTGACACTGCACATTCTGTTGTCCCGAACAATATACCCGCCGATTTTCAACTTCATACGGCGCCCGGTTCTGGAGATAATCGACATACAGACAGACAGACACACACACACACAGATTCCTGGAATTATAGTAAGGATTACAGTTCAATAGTTTCCTATGGCATTCCATGGTCAGCTATAAAAATGGGTTCTGTTAGTTAAAATGTATAACTTTTAATGGCACAGATTAAACTTAGAAAGAAAAAAATTCACACAAGTGAAGGAACATGCTTTTCAAGACATACCCCTGCACTGCAGACAAACAAAGAAAAGGAAAAACTGCAAACTAGCTATTAAATTTGATCAAATAATTTTAACATTTGGGCAAGTCAAAAAATCATAAACCTCAGTGCCAAAACTTAAAAAAAAAAAAAAAGGCACAAACGAAACATTTATCATTTTGAAGCTTATTATCTGTATTTTATTGAAATATATTTTATTTCTAACAATGTTAAACAGGTAAGCTGTTGCGTTTAAGTGAAAAAAAGTACATTAATACATGGAAGTACATGTACACACAAAAATCAAAAGACATGATGCGGTACTATTAGACGACTGTCTTGTTGTGAACACTCATGAAGTCCACAACATCTTTGCAAGGACTGAAACCAACAAAGCCTGTGGCCCACATGGTATCTCCATTAATAAAGTCCTCAAGCTGTGTGGCCAACCCTGCTGCTTAACATGTTTTCATCAATGATTTTGAATAGTGGGGACATCCCACAGTGTTGGAAATTTTCTTTTATTACTTCAGTGCCCAAGGTTAAGAATCCAAAAGTGTTAAATGATTTTCGTCCCATATCCTTGACCTCAAATGTAATAAAATGTCTGGAAAGGTTCATACTAAGAACGTTGTGTAGTTAAGTTACCCAATTTGACTCTCATCGGTCTGCTTATCAGAGACACAGAGGAGTGGAGGATGCACTGATTACTTATCTGCACAAATTTGTACAATCATTTTGATATTCTTAAGTCATGTGTTAAGCTCAATTTTTATAGACTTTTCCAGCACTTTTAACACCATTGTTTCTCACATGTTAATGCAAAAATTACTTAATCTTGATCATACTGGTAGCTTTCTTACAGACAGACCACAGCGGGTGAAGTGCAATAATTCTCTGGTGTTAAATCTGAGGAGGCAAGTCATATTCGTCTAAGGATGTCAGTAGAAGAATGGCATGTGGGCTCGATGTCGCAACCAAGGTACCGGTACCTGAACTTCTCTGTGATTTCAACAGGCTCAGCAAGGACAGTAACAATTTCCTTCCTCGTGCTGCCGTGACTGGATATCCTGGTGATTCAATGAATTTCTTATGCCTAATGAAAGAGCAAACGATGGATCACTAACAACGTTGAGGTCTTCAATGACAAACACAGAGCTGTGTCGGTTTTGGAGAAAAAAATGATTGTGTTTTGATTTTTGTAAAGGAAGTACCTTTTGTAGATATTCAAGTTTTATCCAGATCAGATGTGTAGTTCCATAGACATTAAATTATGCACTTTCAATGTTACTTCACATGACATGTGATGTCATCATGATGTTACTTCAATCTTCACCTATAAGTGGTGTGACGGCAGTTGTGCCTTGTAAATGGTTGTCACTTGGTGGTCTGTTGTGTGTGTGCGCGCCATACATATCCTTGTCTGGTCACATTTTGTGAATCGTTATTTTCGACTCCAAAGAATTGAGGTTCTCCCCCAAAACTTGACCTAGGGACAGAGGTTATTTGATTACTATATATTTTATAGTTCATGTAATAATTGTGAGGTAATTTTGAGTCATTGAATGATGTTATTTGTAATGTTTTGAGGATCAATAATTGCTCGATAAAACCAGTTTTGTATAAATGTGTTTGTGCAGTGATGTATCATCAACGACACATGTTCACTGCACCTCATGTAGTAATTTATGTTTATACCCCTTGTGAATAATGGATTTGGATAATTTGGGTTTAATCCTGGGCTTTACAATATGGTAAATCCTCTTCTTGTTTATTATAAACCTGGCATTTTTTTAGAAGCAACATGTCTAATTAGAAGCAACATGTCTAATTATTCCACATGTTAACTACATACATGTATTCCACTTGTATGTCCAATTTACATATACATGTACATGTATGCACTTTATGCATTGTGCTTATTATATTCCTTTGTGTTTATTTTTTCCAATTTTTACGTGAATCAAGTGAAAAGTACCAATGTTAAAGTGAATCAACTTAACCAAGTGAACCAGTGAAAACCAATGAAGTGACAATTATTGAACGCCAGAATAAATCAATTGAATAAATCAAACTTTGATTTAACATATTTAATTGAACCTCAAGAGAACTTAGTAATTATATAATAACCGCCACGAGTGGACTTTCTTCCTCAATGCTGTACAACAAACAAAACCCGATCAATAAAATGAAACACTTGTAGTCCGTTTGCTCCTCACAATCATGGCAGATTTGATCATTTTGTGAGAAGTTTGATTGGGAAAGATGTAAGTGAAAATGTTAGTGAAGGCAGATGAAAAATGGAGGATTTTCAGTCAGCACAAACAAGGGAAGGACCTATGCAGCATCTCAAATTCACCGGGACAGATGAAGAAGCCATTTTCCCCAAATATCATTGCTATGCGTTCCATCAGTCAATCAAGTAGCTGACTAGTTTTAGCACACAAAAAGTAAGTCATGTCACCCACTTCGATAGCCGCTGAGCTCAAAGGGTATTGTGCACAGTGCCCTCAATGTGTGACATTCCGCCAGCACAATGTAAAAAATGTCCAAATGTTGACAGTAAGTCATGGGTGCAGACCAGTAAATCGGTCCGAAATTGCCTGCGCCGGCCAAATCACGATTTGCATGCCCTCAAAATCTTCGGTATTTGAGCATGCTGTGGGCCATGAACTTGAGGGTTTGTAAAAAATATGGGTGGAAACCGTGCACAGGACTTGGAGCTTGCAGTTCTGTGTAATTTTGATGTAATTTGGACCCTAAAAGCGCTCTACTTTGCAATGGAGTGTAGGCATCGTTTTTCAAAATGGCGATGGGCTTCAGGACTTTTTTCAGCGGTGATCATCTTCAGATGGAAATTTCTCCTAAAAGTCATCAGTTGACCCCCCAAAATTGAAAAGAAAATGAAAGATGATGAAATAAGCTTTAATTTGATGTGTGTCTCGAACACCTTGGAGAGTTGTGAGTATTTTTCCCGAATTTTTGAAGTGGGAGCATTTACCATTGGGGTCTATGGAAGTTTATTTACTGGTCTGCTACCTCATGGTAAGTTTCCGCGAGGCTGCAGAAGCAAAGTCCAACAGGAATACAGCTTAAGTATGGTTTTTGCCACTCAAAGTTGATATCTTGGATTTACATGTAGGCCAATAATCAAAACATGTACACTTAAATACAGTCCGGAGTATCAACTCCCATGCTGCCAAAACAGAGTACATGTACATGTACTACTGTTCTTTAATACAGATTTTTTGCTAATTTTGCAAGGGAAGTGGTTTTGCCGCCTGTCGTCTGCTTCACAGATGATCAACTTGTGAACTATAGCACGTAGTCCTACACACACACAGACAAGTGTGAATATCGTAGACCCCCCATGTCCCTCTTTTGTTTGTACTTGTGTACCTGTTTGCAATTGTGGCCCTTCGGGAATTGTGAACCCTATTGTCCTCTTTTGTTCAATGTCCCCTATTCAATGCAGAAACAAACTCATAGCCTCACCTTACATACATGTATGTACATACTGTGGACATTCCTTTGTATTTGTGTAATTAACAAAAAACGGAGAAAAAAATCACTTTACTCCCACTTTGAACACTCTTTCAAACCAATTTTTTATCATGATTTTTAAACAGAAATGGTTAAATTGAAATTGGGTCAGGATTCAATAATGGACATCATGTTCAGCTAAACAAAAAGGCAGTTTGGTTTCTTGGGATTGTTCCGCGAAGGATCTTGCGACTGGATTGAATCTCCAAGGTTTTTACACTACAGTTAATTTTTCCCGATGGTGCTGCTTGACAAGGACTGTTTTCCCAATCCATGGTGCTAGAAAGTACCATTCCTTTAGCGAGGACTAAACACATTTTCTTTGCATGCTTTTACTATAGTGCTGCTGAGTTCTTCCTGTGTGCACAGGGGGCCTTTTGTTGTATACCAAAGAGTGCAGAACTGAGGAGGCCGTGCAAACGGGAGGTAGCTAGAACAAAAGATTGCGTTCCTGGCCTGCACATGCCTGCAAACGGTTAATGTATTTTTTGATCCCTCGCTCCCTAAGACTCCTGCCACCATTCCAATTATTAAAATATAATTAATTATAAAATTTTCAGAGAGATATATTTTGGTAACTCCCGTAACAGTTTGTCCACCCATCTTTAGTACAAGTTAAAACATATAAGAAACTAACAAACAAAAACAATTTTCGCTAAGATTATTAACCTTTCTCTCTGCACTAAAAACAAAATCTCTTTTTACCTGCATTCTGCAGGTAAAAACAGGATGCCAAAATGACTACCTAACCCCCATAATTTAAGCCAAAACAAAATCATTTTTTTTGACAAAACATAGACTTAAAGGTTTAGTCATCATTTGTAATTTCTGCATTTTGTTCGTTTGAAGCAACAAAAGTGCTCAAAATCTAAAGAAGGGTGCTTAACAACTATCCCGATGAAATTTCAGCTCAGCTTCAGCTGTATATTCCGAGAAAAACAGCATTCTAGGATCTCGATTTCAAATCAAAAGTTGCTGAATCATGTTTTGGATTGGGCCTGAATTCAGCATCCGAGACACTGAGTAGATTGCAGCTACGCGATGTCACGCACTGATCTGACGAATTATAGCAACCGCGCGCACGTGTACGTCGTGCCAAAGCTTGCGCACGCTTCGCCAAATAAAAAAAATGAACTACTAATGGAAATTTCCAATTGTGCAACTTAAGAAGCACCGTTGGAAATGCCTTCTTTCGTTGATTTCTTCAAAATGACAGCTTGCCAGAAAGAATAATTTCACAGGGAGTTTAGTCCCCTTACTATCTTTCAACCAAGTATCTTGTTCAACAATAATTATGTCAGTTACTTTTTGGGATAGTTGCAAATGATGGACTATAGCTTTAACCATCTTCTATCTCACTGTCACACCACTCAAATGAAAGGTCTTGTTGTCCCCTTTAATTTGATACCAGATTTGAGGTTAAGATGCTTGCAGTTTTGAAGATTTCATAATTTTTCCCCTTTCAGCCATATCCACACTCTTTCAATTCCATGCACCTGTTTCTCTTTGAAGTACAGCAGTAATGCATAGTTACCTAGAATCCTTCAGTTTTTTATGGTATATGTGATAAAACCTTTCAAATGGGCATCTAGATTTTTTTATTAAAACAAACAGAGATACTGAAATAAAAGGCATCTGTTATTACTGGTAATTCCATAGCCTTTACACATACAATTCTAATAAAAATAACCAGTGATGAAAACTCCTTTGCAAATATCTATCAAAGAGTGACTGTGGGCAGCCAAAAGGTTCCAATTACACAACGTGAAAGAACCACATGACCATCAGTTTCCCAGTGATAGGCCACCATTGCAGAAGGCAAGCATTTGATTTACAACAACAATGTGCATTGCAAACTTAACAATAGGGCTTACTTTTATGTAAAATAACTGCAAATTCTTAATCAAATGGCATAATAGTTAATACCTCTGCCGTGTACGGTTGTCATAATAGTGCCGACCGAGCACTGGTTAGGCTCCACATTTTTCTCACATTTGTTGCCATCCATCACAGCTTTGAATTGTGTCCTACTACGCGACACACTGTACGATCTTTGCCAACTACAATCGCGACACTAACTTTCTTGTACCCAGATATAGGCTGGGTCATAAGAGAGCCCTATGGCGATCAAGTACAGTAATGAATACACAGCATAACCCACCTGCTGATATGGTGAATGCGCTAGTAGCATATTAGTAGCTGTGCTGTGGAAAACAATTGCCCCATCAAGATAAAAAGGAAGAATGGATTCATCAAATGTTTCACCGCCATTCAGGGTGACATACACACGTGTCTGGCTCATATCTTGGTCTTCCATATATGAAACAAGGATCACCTACAAAATAGAAAAACACAAATAAAAATCTAGCAACACTTGTAGTTAAAACGAATAATGCAAGTGAAACTTGTGCAATCCCCTGGCATGCTGACAGTTTTTATACAGTCACTAAGTGCGACACTTGTCAGTGTACCTAACCAAAATGGAAGATTTCTATTGTTTTAGCAATAGTGACCTTGAACTTTGACCTGTCCGCCCCAAAGGCAATATGCTTAAGACTACCAAGAACAACCCACAAATCAAATTTCAAGTTCCTAAGTAAAGTATTTCTCAAGTTATCGTGCTGACAAGAGTGAACCTAACCAAAACATACACGCACACACAGTGAGTATTTGCCTGCAATTGGGGACCCCCTATTATCCCTCTTTTGTTTGTATTGTTTGTATTGTTCAACATTCCCTATTGAATGCAGAAACAAACTCACATGTACATGTATACTCATAGACACACAAAGGGAATACGCTAGAATTTAGCTAGAGCAATTTAGTCCAAAGATTACCAAAAGTGCTGGAATCTTTTGAGATAAATTCTAAACCCTTGACAGATGGTTCCAACAACATTTTAACTGTAAGGGTTTGCTTTTTCATATTTAAACAACATACCTAATTTTCATACAGTATAGTGCCCACAGAATAATCTCTACTTCAAACACACGACTACAAAAAACATTTTCTATAAAACACAAAGTTTGGGGGTAGTTTTGACGAGGTGACACCCCTCAATACCACCCCTGGTTACACTACATGCATGACATGTACCAGGCTGCACTCTCTATCCCCCTCGTTTGGCATATTTTTTATTACAATCTTCAATTTGGCACCATGGGACTTTTTCATGAATATCATGCCTGACCGCTGACATAAACTCTGCATGGGATGGGTTCCTAGATCTCTTTGAAGCTGCAGTACGAGATGCAATTCCATGTAAAAGACAGCGTTCAAGGAGATCTTGTCCCTGGATTGATGACATTTAAAGTATGGTTGGTAAAAAAACCTAGGGCCTTTAAGCTTGCCAAGCAAACTGGGTCCGATGAGCACTGGCACGCTTATAAGAAAATCCACAATGAGGTTAAAAGTGCTGTTAGTATTTCCTTTAACAGACATGTTGACCAGCTTTTTCATTCTGAGAATGATAACAAAAAAGGTTCTTTTCATGTAACTACTGTCCCATTGCATTGACTTTGGTAGTTTGTAAAATCATGGAATCCATTATTGTCAATGCCATATCATCCCATGTCACAAATTATTTGCTTTTGTCATCCGAGCAGTATGGGTTGTGGTAGTCCACCCAACATTGATGCAATGTTTCTTGATTTTGTAAAGGCCTTTGTTGTAATGCCTCATGACATTCTACTTCAAAAGCTAGCTAGTCAATATAATATTACTGGCAATACAGTGTATTTGGAAGTGGATTGTCTTTCATCTCAGGTCGTTATCAGCGGGTACTGTACAGAGGTAGCTTTTCACCCTGGTTCCAGTATCATCAGGAGTATCCCAGGGTAGTGTCTTAGGGCCGCTTTTGTTCAACTTGTTTATCAATGACCTTCCCTCATGTACTTCTTCTGCCTGTCTGTTGTTTGCAGATGATACATTATTATTCAGACCTTTACCTTGCCAACAGGATGAACGTATTTTACAGGAGGATCTTAATCAAATCCACAGGTGGTGTGTAGACAACAGGATGAATCTTAATATTAAGAAAACTAAAGTTATGCATATCACTTGTTCTAGCAATCCCGTTGTTCCTACGTATAATATGGGATCATTTCGTGTCAATTCAACACGATTTTGGACCCGACCCTCACAGATTAAAACAATATTAGGTGTGATGATTGGCCTACATAATTTGTATAAGAGATACACCCAGAACTGAAATCTTTTGTAGTGTGGCTCGTTAGATTTTGAGATATGGGTCAACTAACTTTTGACAAATTAGCATGACCTCCGAACTTTAAATATTTGTATCTCCAAAACTATAGCACCTACAAAGCCAAGTTGTACACCATAATAAGGCTCTTTGAATGGCCTCCATTTCATAAAATAAAACCTAAATCTTACCATGAAGCACAGGGAATATGCGTAACGAAATGACCTTTGACCTTGAATTACAAAAATGCTTCAAATTTTGTGTTTTTTCTCAGATGTTAGTTTATGATGTAAGCAACATATTGGAAAATTTTGTAATGGGTGCTCTTAAAATTTTCAAAAGATGATTTTTTAAATATACATGTACCGTACCATGTCCAGGAAAAAACGTAATTTGCATACGTACTTACCGTACATACAGCAAGTGCACATTGACCTGTACATACTTGCCCTCGACAGCCCTAATGTGTTGTGTCAAATACAACATCTTGCTAGCTCTAGATTGTAGTGTAACGGAGGGGGGGGGGGTGTCATTGGCGGGGGCACGTGTCTCCCAATGGATGTTCATATCCCCCGGTTTTGCATTTGTTTCTCATCTTTTGCTGAAAAGTGGACAGGGTTTCGGGTGGCACCATGTGGAGGGAGGTTTCTTCTTGGAACCGGTTCTTAATTTTCAGAACCACACTTCTTCCAAGAGGAGACTTCTTTCCACATGGTGTTGCCCGCAATATTGTCTACTTAATATGTCAGCCGCCATGTAAAGCGTCAAGTCATATCTTTTGCTTAATTTGTTTCTTTTTTTAGTATCATTTTGGTTTGCGGTAACACCATGAGGTAATGACTACTGCTCAGAAGATATTTATACGTATGTAGTTCTGAAAAGAACTTGTCCTGCTTGTTTTCTTTTGCTTTTTCTCATCTGGTTTTTATTTGTTCATAGTAATTTAATATCTGATAACTTGCAATGAAACTTTTTTTAACCGGGGGGTTGGCATTTTTCTCATGTTTTGTTCAATTTACTAATTTGTTTTTGCTAATTCTTATCTGGTTTTTATTTACTTGCAATGAAACTTCTTAACTCTTTAACGTTAAATGTGGACATCCACAATAATTTGGTCTTTAAAATGTATTGTTTTTTTCTTTAATGGGGGACATCTTTCTTCCTTTTGTTGTACTATATTTTTGGCTTTTCCGCATAGTTGCGGAAAAGCCTTTCTTTTTGTTCTGATTTTTTTTTCTTTCTTCCCTCTTCTTTTTGTTCATCCCAAATCCCATAAACTTTGTACATGATGTTTGTGACATCCACTTTTGGCATTATTAATCTTTGTCATACATAATTCAAAGTCAGCATAGGCATAGTCCCTATAGCAAAGTTGCGTCCACCATGGGTCATGTGACGTCATCACAAATGTGCTTATTTTAAAGTCCTATATCTACAAAACTGTATGTCCAATTCGGTTGAAACTCGGTATGCACATGTAGGTACATGTAGGCCAGGATGTGTTATAGGTAAAAATTGAGGTGACGTCATCATGACGTCATCGTGTGATTTTATATAGATTTGTGAAATTTTGAAGAATACCACAATATCTCTCGACCCAACACGCTAAATTCAAAATTCTTTTTGCATTACGTTTGTTAGGCAATAGGTGTATGCACACAATTTTTTAAAATTTGTGACGTCACGATGACGTCATCAAAAACGTGATTTTTCAAAACACATATAAGGGGGTCCATGTAAGTCCGATTGTCTTGAAACTTGGTGGGTAGGTACCGTAGGTACTGTTACTAATATGCAAATCCTGAAGTGACATCACAATGACATCATCGGAAGATGTTTTACGATTTTTTTTTTAAATTACAATTTTTCTTCTGCTTTCAAAAATTTACACTTCCATTCATCCGTTTGACTTCAAATTTGGTGGAAACCAAGACTACAATGAAAAGTGTGCATTGACAAGTGTTGTTAAGATGACGTCATCGCGGGGTATGTTCAAGTCCTCCATGTTAGGCAACCATTCGACTAATTTTTAGCCCAATTTACGGACACCTCATTTTTCCCCTTTTTTGTTTTTTGGATTAAATATCAAGATGTTATTATTTTCACATGATTCTCATTTATTTTTGTAAAGACAGTGTGCTGATGACACGCAGTGTTCAGTCTCAAGATGTTGAGGATGATAATGCCGTATGCGTAATTATAACGTGCCAGGGAACTGTCCAGTACCATACTGATACTAGCTCCATGGATATATCGCGTGATAATTTACTGGCCACTTCAAACTTTGCCTGGAAAATATTAAAGACTATTTTGACACACCAAAGGAATATGAAGATTGCAAGTAGGAGTATAAAGGTAAAAAGTATCCTTTTTGTCCAGTAGAAATAACAGCTAGTAAAATCACAAATTTAAATGTTGTGTTTTTCGCAAACCAAAGCATGATAATGTCAGATACATTAGGCTTTATTCTAATTTGTTATCTGATAAAGTTTATTCAGACATCGTGTTTGCACTAAAACTGTTCTAATTTGAAGCTTTCTGTGTCGTCACTTTACAAATGTCAAAGCTGGCCTGTGCCTTTTACGGTTTATAAAATTTAAGTGGATTTACAGGATTTTGAACTTATGCTTCCATCTAATTGTTTCACTCCAAAACTAATTTTCCGATTTTGTTTTCTTCTTATTCTGTTAACAGACTGTGGATAGTGTCATGAAGAGGGTCAAACTAGCGGGCAGTCTCCAGTCATAACCAACGCAACTCGAGACTATAACTACTCATCATTGGACAGGGAAGGATGAGCTAAACCACTTAAAATTGCTGGATTAAGAATTGGGTGCATTATCTAAGCAAACGGCTACAAGTTTTCCAGGCCAAATTTGCATTGCACAAACTTGTGAAAAAGACCTACTCATTTCTTCAGGATGTTGAGTTCTTGTTGATCAACTTGAATTTCTAGGACTGCATGCTGGGCATTGAAATCTCGGAACAAGATTGAGATATAAATTATACTGCGAACCCAAGTCAAAAAATTGCTTTTACCGGTAACTGTGAAACATTTATATTGTTGAAACATTTATATTGTTACATTTACATGTGCAAACATTCTGAACAAGAAAACAGCGATTCTTGAC